CAATCAATCCATGTCTTTTTTCTCCTTCTTGTACTTTAGCCATTATGCCACTTATTGTTCTATTTTGGCTTCATTGTCATGATTATCTGTTTAATTTAGTCTTATGGTTTGCAAGCTGTGCAATGCAGAGGCAATGAGGGGTGACTTTCACAAAAGCCTCAGCCATTTATATACCTAACCAAAAGTTATCGTCTCGGGTTAGAACGGAATTTGAGAGCCAATATCCGCAGCGGGCTGCTCAGAGTCCATTGACTCTGAAACCTGCTTGCATCCTGGCAAGAAAAAGAGGAATGTTGATTATTTCCATTTGCTTATTTAATGCACGTTTACTGCGATTGTTAGAATGGTTTGTTAAATGTGGGCATGGTTGCTCTGTTTAACCAGGGACACCAATATTGGGTTTAGAAATTGAATAAGGTTTGTTTGGTAACGAAAAAGGAAGGAAAGATGACAGTTTGCAGCTTAGTACTAAAGTTTTTGATTGCTAGGTTGGTGGAAGAAAACTGCAGACATGGGTGGCCAAGCAGAGCGTTGATTGAGGGTGACCCACTCTCCATTTCCTTTTCCTTGGTAAACATGATCATAGGAGGAGAGCTAATTTCCAGGTCATAAGCCCATCCATCTTGTCCGAACCGAACCCTCACTCCTAGGAGGCTTCCTGATCACAAAAGCATTTTGGCACATGAAAATGAAAAGTGATGGATGATTACACTTTACACGAGAAAATGTGTTTTAGAGCTTCAAAAATAAAGCTGAAATTGCTAGCTGGTGAGTTGAGTGTCTAGAATTTTCTCTCAATCTCTTCCTAGTGCATAACACGTGGAATCTGTATAGTTTATTAGATATGAGCTGATGATGATTTGCCATGAAAGCTGATGGGGCAAGTTTTCAAGAGCCCCTCACAGAGTTTTTTTATGTTAATGGGGGGTGAATTCAAGTCTTTTCATGGTTATTAAAAATTTATAAAATTTATTGAGATATATATAAATTAACCTGAATATCCAATAATAAAAAAAAATGTAGCGTTTTTCCACATTAGGATATGCAAATGCTCTTTAAATGTAGCCGGAACATGTTCTTCCATTTACTTAGATTTGAAGCAAAAGGGAGACACAGTGACACATTATATATCATAGGGATAACAAGAATGACAGCGTTTAAAGGCTAACAAGATATTTTAACCAGAATGACAGCGTGATTGATATAGATCTGACATCATTGGGTAATGTTTACATCTAAGTTCTGTAGTTTTAATGAAGTTCCTTCTTTTAACTGGGAACAATCTTCAAACTCCATCTAACAGGTATATTTACCAGTAGAATATTACATGGATCAGATAAATAAGACTAAATATGAAAAGAAATCCGTGAATGAAGTCTGAATATATATATATATATATATATATATATATCAAGTATAAAGCCTAATAAAAAATTGATAATAAAAAATTAAGTATTGAATCAGACTAAAATTTGAAAAAAAAATTATGTTTGTTATCAAACCATTGCATTATTCAAAATTAGATTGGAAAGTTGTTTTTTTAGTTATTTTCTATTTAATTTTGAGTTTTAATTAGTTTTTTGTATTGAACCCTTTAATTAAGGGGTTTTTTAAGATTTTTATATAAATAATTGAAGTTTTTTTTATTATTATTCATATCATTAAAAAAATTATAAAATATCAGGGATCTTTTTTATTATTATGCAGTATTAAGGTTTGAGAATCCTAATTTTTATCTAACATTAAAAGCTACACATCATACATAGACTTAAATTCTCTTTCCATTCAAGGTACAAAGGATGCATGGCATAGAAAGCTTCCTTTTGTTCCATGGCATGGGGATACCTTGCTCTCCTAGTTCCAGACTTGATACCTTTGCTGTCTCCTGTGTCCATTTATGTTTAAAGGACTGTTTAGGGTCACCATGAAATATTTTTTTACTGAATTTTAATTATATTTTTAATATTTTTAAATTATTTTGATGTGTTGATGTTAAAAATAAATTTTAAAAAATAAAAAATATTTATTATTTTTAATATACTTCTAAAGTAAACTTTAAAAATCAATATTTATGGCAATTCTAAATATACCCTTGAAACAAACAGTTTTAGCCACAACACGACATTGGTTGGCTCTCTATTTTTTGTCATTTATTATTGCAAGTAAATAAAATTCAACTGAGCCTTGATGAATAGGCCTACCAGCCATCTTCAGAATTCACGCAATTATAGCCTATAGACCACAACAGAATAATCGTGTTAGGCCCCACTTGAACCACCGCGAGATTAAATAATTCTTGTGATCAATTGAAATATTTAAAAAAGAAAACTCTGCCTGACGGAGAGAATCCAACACATGTGGTGACGTAATTAATTTGTTAAAAAATATGATAATTGAATTATGCTTCCATGGAGTACAAGTAATCGTTTCCTTCGAGCAAAAATCCAACAAAAAATCTCAGAATAAATAACAATAATAAGGTATTTTAATTGTTTTTCACAATAAAACAACTATAATATTATTTATTTATTTATTAAAAAAAAAAACATGAAATGTCATGCATGCTGACAATGTTTCGAATTTTCCCTTTCAAGAACACAGTAAAAAGACTATATTAGCAAATATCACGAGACACCAATCTATTAAAATAATATTTTGAAGGGCTCCCATCGACGAGTCGACACGTCTCTGTCATTCGAGGCAGACGTGTACAAACCCGTAAAGGTTACTGGACGCTTTGGCTGGGCTAAAGGTCCGGGCCTTGGATACTCAATGAACTCTTTTCCTAAAATTAATGTCCCTTTCAGGCAGCCTCGGTCAAATGTTTAAAGAAGACAAACTTTTGATTCGCTATTATCCTCTCTTTTAATTCACGTTCTCTAAGACGAAGGTCTCGAGGGTTTTCTTTTTTCACTGTATATATACGTTTTCTTTAGGGTCAGTTCAGCTGATTCTTACTTCTATTTAGCACTCTAACGAATGATTAACAGATGATATATGTATATATACACAAACAATCGAACCCAAACATATTTTATGATGTTATTTACAGAACTGGGAGCCTCCATTTGGTTGATTGGCTCGTCCTTGACCTTGGAGCCAGGAGGCAATTATTACAGGCAGGTGGACGAAAAATCATTTCAAGAAAGCGACTGGAGCTTAGGAAAGGGCACGAAGAATTCTCGCCTTTATTTATGTTAAATGAAATGAAGTTTTCAATCTTCTCTTCAGCGGATCTTGAGCCCCTGTGGATTGATGGAAGTGATGACGAAGGCATCAACCTATTACACCAACATGAGACTTAGTGGAGCTACAAGACCCACACAGCCCCTTACTACATTGAGAAACTCTAAGATTATATTTGTTTGATAAGATAAAGTTTACTTTATCAAATTAAATAGATCTCTAACCCCTATCGAGGTTGTTGGCAGGGATGTCTTTAGGAGCGAGCTCGTTTCGAAGAAGCCGACGCTTCAGTTAAAAATCAAAATTTATTTACCTTGTAAACTTGGTGAAGGAACAGAGAAGGCATCTTCTCTTATTGCTATGGCTTGCTTTACTCCCCTCCTATTCAATTATTAATGTCCATATGATTTAGAATCCAGAATTAAGTGGGTCATGTTGCTGTTTTACCATAAGGTTGCTTTAGAGAGCAAAAACAACCTTTTTCATTTTTTTTAACTATTATTATTGTTATCAATGGTCAATTGGGTATCTTCGAGCTAATTTCTTCAGACGAAAACCAAGAATCCACACCCAAATTAATTTATCCGCAGAGAACTCGCCTGCAGAGACTTGACTGTTCTCATTGTGGTTAAAAAAGAAAAGAAAACTCTGAGCTATGCTTTTGAATGATAAAAAGACGAAGACTACATGGATGGCAAGAGGGCATTCACCAGACACCCAGCCTATTGTCCATGTCTAACCACCACAAAGCATATGTGACCAGACAAGGCAAAACGTATAGAAAATATGGGATTAAACAAAGCGCCTACAAGCGAAATACAAAACAAGAATGAGTAAAGTAAGCAAGCAGAGCTTCAATTATTAGATGTAATCCTTTAAAAATAGCAAATTCATTGACAATGGATTTGGAACACTTGGGAACTCAATAATAATAATAATAATAATTTTGATTAAGAAAGAAATGAGAAAGACGCGTTACGTGTTGTTGGGTGCAATACATGCAAAGTTTACATACACGACCAGATTCTACAAAGCCATGTGTTGTTATTTTAAATGGTTATGATTGCTTTAGAATGCTATGCTAATCTTAGGTGTCTTTGTTTTTTTTTTTTTTTTTTGCCGCTCAAGTTTATC